ATGAGGGGAGATCTTATAGAAACATATAAGATTATGAAGGGAATGGATAAGATGGAGGCAGGGAGGTTGTTTCTGCTAGCAGGTGAAACTAGGACGAGAGAGCATCACCTCAAAATAAAGGGGAGCAGATGTAGGATTGAGGTCAGGAGGAACTTCTTCACCCAAAGGGTTGTGAATCTGTGGAATTCCCTGCCCAGTGAAGCAGTTGAAGCTACCTCGCTGAATGTTTTTAAGGCAAGGCTAGATATATTTTTGAACAGTAAAGGAATTAAGGGTTTATGGTGAGTGGGCGGGTAAGTGGAGCTGAGTCTCAAAAAGATCAGCCATGATCTTATTAAATGGCGGGGCAGGCTCAAGGGGCCAGATGGCCTGCTCCTGCTCCTAGTTCTTATGTTCTCATGTTCTGCAGTACGTCTTATAGAATGTGCACACTGCATCTTTTGAGCGCTGGTGGTGGAGGGAGTGGATGCTTGTGCGTGTGATGCCAATGAAGCAGGCTGCTTTGTCCTGGATAATGTCAAGCTTCCTGTGTGTTGTTGGAGCTGCATTCATCAGGCAAGTGGAGAGTATGCCATCACACTGCTGACTGGTGCCTTGTAAATGGTGAACAGGCTTTGGGAATCTGGAGGTGAGTTACTCACCGTAGTATTCATAGGCTTGGACCTGCTCTTGTCACTACTGTATTTACATGGCAAGTCCAGTTGACTTTCTGGTGAATGGTAACTCCCAGGATAGTGGAGGATTCAGTGGTCGTAACACTATTGAATGTCAAGGTGCGGTGGTTCGATTGTCTCTTATTGGAAATGGTCATTGCCTTATATTTGTGTGGCATAAATGTTACTTACCACTTGTCAGCCCAAGTCTAGATATTGTCCAGGTTTTGTTGCATTTGAACATAGACTGCTTCAATATCTGAGGAGGGCAGCACAGTGGCTCAGTGCTTAGCACTGCTGCCTCACAGTGCCAGCAACCCAGGTTCGATTACAGCCTTGGGTGACTGTCTGTATGGGCTTTGCCAGTGCTTCCCCTAGCTGTGTGGGTTTCTGCCAGGTGCTCTGGTTTCCTCCCATACTCCAAAGATGTGCAGGTCAGGTGGGTTAGCAATGCTAAATTGCCCCATAGTGTCCAGGAATATGCAGGCTGGGTGGATTAGCCACGGTAATCACAGGGGTAAAGGGGATAGGGTTGGGAGTGTGGATTTGGGTCTGTGTTCAATGTTCTTAAGAGGATCGGTGCAGATTTTATGGCTGAATGGACTTTCTGCACTGTCAGAATTCTATAATTCTATGAGTTTCAGTGGTGCTGAACTTTGTGCAATCATCAGCGAACAATTCCACTTCTGACCTTGTGATGAAGCAGCTGAAGATGGTTGGGCCAAGGACACTACCCTGAGGACCTCTTGCAGAGATACCCTAGAGCTGAGATGACTGACCTTCACGAGCACATCCATCTTTCCAGATATGACTCCAACCAGCAAGAGAGTTTGCCCCTGGTTCCCATTGATTCCAGTTTTCCTAGGACTTCTTGATGCTTCACTTAGTCATATGCATCCTTGATATCACGGGCTGTCACTCTTACCTCACCTCTGGAATTCAGTTCATTTCTCCATGTTTGAACCAAGACTATAATGAGGTCAGGAACTGAGAGGTCCTGGCGGAACACAAACTGGGTGTCAGTGAGTGGGTTGCTGAGCAGGTGCTGTTTTATAGCACTGTTGATGACACCTTCCATCACTTCATTGATGATCGATAGTAATCTGATGAGGCAAAAATTGGCTGGGTTGGATTTGCCTTTCTTTTTATGTACAGGGCTTACTGGGCAATTTTACACATTGCCAGGTAATTGCCAGAGTTGTAGATGTACTAGAACAGAAAGGTGCTTTATGACTCTATGGCTCATGGAGCAGCAAGTTCTAGAGTACAGATCTTCAGTATTATTGCCAGTATCCAGTGCCCACATCTATTTCTTGATATCATGTGGAGTAAATCAAATTGGCTGAAAACAGGCACCAGTAATGGTAGGGACCACTGGATCATCCCTCTGCACTTCTGGCTGAAGATTGCTGTGAATGCTTCAGCCTTAGCTTTTGCACTGATGTGCTCGGCTCTTCCATCACTCAGGATATTGAGGATAGGGTGTTTGTGGAGTCTTCTGCTCCAGAAAGTTGTCCACCACCATTGATGACCAGATATGGCAGGACTGCAGAGCTTAGATCTGATCCATTGGTTGTGGGATGGCTAAGCTCTGCCTATCACTTGCTGCTGTGCTGTTTGGCATGCAAATAGTCCTAGTTGGTAGTTGACGCCTCATTTTTAGGTATGCTACAGCTCTTGCACTATCCATTGAACAGGGTTGATTCCCTGGGTTGATGGTAGAGGTTGATAGGGGGATATGCTGGATGTTGGTAGTGGGGGATTCAATGATAGTGACACCATCGGATGTCAAGGGGCAGTGGTTCAATTGTCTCTTATTGGAGGTGGCCATTGCCTTGTATTTATGTGGCACAAATGTTACTTGCCACTTGTCAGCCCAAACCTATCTAAGTTTTGCTGCATTTGAACATGGACAGCTTCAATGGGCCTGCTTGTGAGGAATCACAAATGGTGTTGGTTGAGGTTGCAGGTCCTGTTGGAATATGATTCTGTTGCTGTTGATGGCCCACAGCACTTCATGGATGCCCATTCTTGAGTTGCTAAATCTGTACGAAGCCTGTCCCATTTAGCACGGAGATAGTACAACATAGTATGATGAAGGACATTCTCAATGTGAAGGTGGGACTTTGTCTCTACAAGGACTGTGCAGTGATCACTGTTTCTGATCCTGTCATGGACAGATGCATCTGCAGCCGACACATTGGTAAGGATGAGATTAAGTATGTTTTTATCTCTTGCTAGTTCCCTCACCACCTGCCATAGATCCAGTCTAACAGCTATGTCCTTTAGGACCAGACCTTGATCAGTAGTGCTACTCCCGAGCCACTCTTGATGGTGTACGTTCAAATCCACCACCCATACAACATTTTGTGTCCTTGCCATCCTCCAAGTGCTATTCAACATGGAGGAGTACTGATTCATCAACTAAGGGAGAATGGTATATGGCAAACAGCAGGAGGTTTCCTTTCCCATTTTTGACCATAAGACATAGTGACATCATGAGTCGATGGACTACCAGTGTAACTCCTTCCTGACTGTATACTACCATTCTCTCACCTCTGCCAGATCTGTCCTGCTGGTGGGACAAGATATATCTAGGAATGTTGATGCTTTTGTCAGGGTCATTGTCTGTAAGGTATGATTCCATAAGTATGACTATGCCAGGCTGTTGCTTTACTAGTCTGTGAGACAGCTCTCCCAATTTTGGCAGCAACTCGCAGATGTTAGGGAGGAGGACTTTGCAAGGTCGATGAGGCTGTTGTTGCTGTTGTCATTTATAGTGTCTCAGTCAATGCCAGGAATTCAAATCCGATTTTAACCTTATTCATCTAAACAAATCTAATCTAATTATATGTTGAACGCTAATCTTAAAAATCACTCAGTGCAGCACAGAAGCATAGAATTCTCACAGCAGAGTACCTAGAGGTGTACTAATGAGGGGTCAGCATAGGCAAATTGCTTGCCATTTTTAAGGTTTTGAGCACTTTTCTGGCATATACGCACCCTTGTAAAGAGTGTGGCAATGAAATCAAAACATGGAAATCAAAGCACAATCACAGTCACTCTCAACTGCTGAGGTCCTTATTTATTTTCCATTCCCATTTAAATATATTCTATCTTTGTATTGAATAAACTCATTCCTTGTCTATCTAAAACAACACGTTGTGTTTTTACTATCCTTAAATTTGCCATTAGTCACACAGCCTCAATAGCACCTAAACAAGATGGCAATAGTTATAGAGTCATAGAGTACAGAAACAGACCCTTTGGTCCAACACGTCTGCACCGACCAGATATCCCAATCTGACCTAATCCCATTTTCCAACATTTGGCCCATATGCCTCTAAACCTTTCCTAATCATTTACCTATTCAGATGCCTTTCAAATGTTGTATTGTACCTCCACCACTTCTTCCAGCTGCTCATTCCTTATACGCAGCACCTTCTGCTTGAAAAAATTACCCCTCAGATCCTTTTTAAATTCTTTCCCTCTCATCTTAAACCTCTATTGTCTAGTTCTGAACTCCCCCACCTTAGGAAAAAGACTTTGGCTATTCACCCTATCCATGCTCCTCATGATTTTATAAAGTCATCCCTCAGCCTCCAATGCTCCAGGGAAACAAGTCCCAGCCTATTCAGCTTCTCCCTATAACTCAAACCTTTCAGTGCCGGCAACATCCTAGTAAATCTTTTTTGCACCCTCTCAAGTTTAACAACATCTTTCCTATAGAAGGACAACCAGAATGGTAGGCAGTATTCTAAAAGTGACCTCACCAATATCCTGTACAGCCGCAACATAATGTCTGAACACCTATACTCAATGGTCTGTCGAATGAAGGCAAGCGTGCCAAATGCCATCTTCACTACCCTGTCCGTCTGCAACTCCACTTTCATAAATAATGCAACTGCACCGCTAGATCTCTTTGTTTGGCAACACTCCCCATGGCCCTACCGTTAACTATATAAGTCCTGCCCTGATTTGCCTTACCAAAATGCAACACCTCATATTTATCTAAATTAAACTCCATCTGCCACTCCTTGGCCCATCTGATCAAGGTCCTGTCACACAATGAGGTAATTTTTGCTGTCCACTGCACTATCTATTTTTGGTGTCATCTGCAAATATCACATCTCCAATATTCACATCCAAATCATTCATATAAATGATGAGAAGTGGTAATCTTATAATCTACTCCCACCTTCTCTTTTAATCTTCACAGTTCATATACCAGTCCTTAGCCAAAATGTAAATCTCAGTTGAGTATCTCAATGAATATTAATTCTTATTGAGGAGAAGATTCTACATTATAGTCACAGTTAATTTTTTAACTTTTTTTTCCAATTTACCAGGTTCAAGTTTTTGACTTGAATGTTAATAAATATGAACCGATCTGCGAGCAAGCTATTGTGAGCAAGAAACGAAATAAACTCACACATATTGCATTCAATCCAACCTACCCTATTATAATGGTAGGAGATGAACGTGGTGGTGTATCAATCTTAAAACTCTCTCCAAACCTTCGCAAACAACCTAAGGTAAGAAAGTTTCTTAAAAATCCACTTAAATGTGCAACAGAATACCACGATATTAATCTAGAATATATTAAATGTTATTTTTGTAAGTTATGAACATATTTACTTAATGAATCTTAAGCATGTAGTATGAATGAGACATGTTTTGGCACTCACAGAACAGTTGTACATTAGGAGCTAGCTTCTCGTACTGTGGAGTGCTAAATATGCACAATGTAGAATAGCACAACAGATAACTGCCTCATAAAATGTGTGCAAGTCTCAGTAACAGCCGTTACTATTAATGCAGAAACTCAGGTAATGTCCTGGGGACCTGGGTTAGATTCCTACCATGGCACATGGTGGAATTTGAACTCAAAAAAAAATCTGGAATCAAAAATCTAATGCTGAAACTTCTGTCAATTGTCAGGGGAAAAATCAATCTAATTCACTAACATCCTTCAGGAAAGGAAATACGCCATCCTCACCTAACCTACATGTGACTTCAGACCACAAGCCACTCAGTTTTAACAATCATTACAGTCTCACAAGAGAAATTAAACTGGATAGACCTAAGCATTGAAAAAATACAGCCTTCTCAACCCTGCAGAGTCTTCCCTTACTAATCTGAAGGCTAGTGCCAAAATTGAGAGAGTTGTCTCACAGTTTAGTAATGCAACAGTCATACTCATAGAATCACAGCTTACAGACAATGTCCCAGATATCACCATCGCCATCCTTGGATCTGTCCTGTTCTGCCAGCAGAACACCCAACAGATATGGCAGGATGGTCGTGTACAGTAGGGAAGGAGTTGCCTGGGATTCCTCAACGTTGACTCCAGATCTGATGAAGTCCAGTAGCATCAGGACACACGTTGGCTAGGCTGCCTCCTGCTGACTACTGTGTATCATTCTCCCGCAGCTATTGACTGTTTACAGTGGTTAGCACTGCTGCCTCACAGTGCCAGGGATCCGGGTTCGATTCCACCCTCGGGCGACTGTCTGTGTGGAGTTTGCACATTCTCCCCGTGTCTGCGTGGGTTTCCTCCGGGTGCTCCAGTTTCCTCCCACAGTCCAAAGATATGCAGGTTAGGTGGATTGGCCATGCTAAATTGCCTGTAATGTTCAGGGATGCCTAGATTAGTGGAGTTAAAGGGGGATAGGTCTGGGTGGGATGCTCTGAGGGTCGGTGTGGACTTGTTGGGCCGAAGGGTCTGTTTCCACACTGTAGGCATTTTGTGATACTATGAATGAACTCTCGAAGGAAGCACTGTGGATGGCAAAGGTGCAGAATGTACTCATGGTGGGGGATTTCAATGTCCACACCAAGAATGGCTCGCCAAAATCACTAATGATCAAGCTGATCAAGTACTAAAGGGCATAGCTGCAAGTCTGAGGCAGGTGGTGAAGAGCCAAAAAAAGGAGGGACATATTAGGCATCATCCTTACCAATCTGCCTGCTGCAGAGGCATCTGTCCTTGACATTATTGGTGAGAGTGACCACCGCACAGTCCGCATGGAAACGACATCCCACCTTCTCATTGATAATACCTTACATTGTGTTATGTGGCACTATCACTGTGCTAAATGGGACAGACTTGAGACAGATCAAGCAGTTTGAGAGTTGGCATCCATGAGGTGCTGTGCACCATCTGCAGGGGAATAGTATTCCAATACAATCTGCAATCTCATAACCCAACATATCTCCCACTCTGTGAATATCATCCAGCCAGGGGATCAACTCCCTTGTTCAATGGGGAGTGCAGGAGGGCATGCCAGGAGCAGCACCAGGCATACCTAAAAATGAGTTGTCAACTTGGTGATGCTACAAAGCAGGACTACTCGAGTGCCAAGCAGCAAATGATAGAGCTAATGAATCTTATAACTGATCAGATCTGAGTTCTGCAGTCCTGCCACATTTAGTCACCAATGGTGGTGAACAATCAACCAACTCACTGGAGGGAAAGGCTCTTAAATATCCTGATCCTCAATAATGGAAGAGCCCAGTACATCAGTGCAAAGATAATGCTGAAGCATTCAGAACCACCTTCAGCCAGAAGTGCTAAGTGGATGGTCAATTTTGATCTCCTCCAGAAGTCCACATCATCACAGATGCTCGTCTTCAGTCAATCGATTCACTCCAGGAATGGTTGGAGGCACTAAATGCTGCAAAGGCATTGAGCCCTGACAACTGTCCAGCAATAGTACTGAGGACACATGCTCCAGAATGTGTCACACAACTAGCCAAATTGTTCCAGTGTAGTTAGAACACTGGCATCTACCCAACAATGTGGAATATTGCCCAGGTATGTCCTGTACATAAAAAGCAGGACAAATGCAACATGGCACATTACCACTCCAGTCTACTCTTGCTCATCAGTAAAGTGATGGAAGGCCTCATGAATTGTACTTTCAAGCAGGGGGTCGGTTAGCTCAGTTAACTGGATGACCAGCTTGTGATGCAGAACAATGCCAACAGCTTCAATTCCCCCATCAGCTTTTTTTTAATTCTTTATTCATTCACTGGATGAGGGGATCGCTGGCTAGGCAACATTTATTGCCCATCCCTAATTGCCCAGAGGGCAGTCAAGAATCAACCACACATTGCTGTGGGTCTGGAGTCACATGTAGGCCAGACCAGGTAAGGATGGCAGTAGAAGCCATTAGTGAACCATCTGCCATGGTGGAATTCGAACCCAGGTCCCCAGAACATTATCTGGGTTTCTGGATTATAAATCCAGCGATAATACCACTAGGCCATCACCTCTCCTGAGGTTACCATGAAGTCCTCCCCTTCTCAAGTATGATGAGGTGAGCCTCAGGGTAAGCCATCACTGGCTGTCTCTCACTCTCGCTCTCTCTGTCTCTCTGTTTCTCTATCTCTTTCTCTCTCCCTCTAAAGAGAGACGGCTAGATATAGCATTTGGGGCGAATGTGATCAAAAATTATAGGGAGAAAGCAGAATTATGCTACTGAGTTGACGATCAGCCATGATCGTGATGAATGGCAGAGCAGACACGAAGGGCTGAATGGCCTCCTCCTGCTCCTATCTTCTATGTTTCTATGATAGTGTCTTTTAATTGTCTCCAAATTTGCAGGATTACAATAACTCCTCTAAAATTGCTATGAACTGGAAAATAGATTCACCATCATTCTGGTTGTATTTGTGGAATCTGAACCTTTTAGCAATCATCATAAGTTTTGGAATGTGCCTCCATTGCCATAACAGCCTCCTCAGGACGTTAAAAGTTATTCCCCCATAATATTCAGGAATGCAGAGAGGACTACACATGCTTCAATTTTGTTAGCTAAAACAAAATTATTGAATCTTTCTGTGTAGGAGTTCTAGCTCTTTGTATTTTCATCATGGAGTCACATGGCACTAAATTTTTTTTTTTTTTAATGGGAAAGGCCTTCAAAGCATAATGTACCAACATACTTACACAAATACACAACAGAACATAAGATATACAAATTGTGATCGTAAACTGTTCACCAGAATTTCTGTTTTTTCAACCCAATAGTTGGATACCTCGTAGGCTTTGTACAGAAGTTCAATCCATCTTGCCTGGTTTTCTCCTAGGCACTTCACCAGGGCATTAATCTCTCCCCAGCACAAAAGAACAATCTTTGCCCTCTGAATTCTTGAATGAATTAAACTGCATTTTAAAGTTATTTTTGTTGTTTCTTAATGGCTTTCTGTCAGTGGAAACTCAAACAGTTTCAATATACACTGCATCATCAAAAGCAATCTACTTGTTTTTAATGTCTGCTAATACACCTGATGTTCTTGTCTGTATTTTAGTATATTTCAGGAGCTTCAGTAGGTTTAAATTATAAACATGCCAGATTACTGGACAGGTTCACAATTATTCTGTCATGCTTTGTTCTGTATTCCTCAAATATTTTTACTATCTTGCCAATACTTGCAATTGATTCTGGGCTCCCTTTTATCTGAACTGAGCTATTTTGTCTGGAAATCACTGAATTGTATTTGTTTATAATGAAACAAAGAAATGCTGAGATATTTACATCATCATTGGCCACAGGAGAGGTGCTAAAATACTGGAGTTGGCTAACGTGGTGCAACTATTTAAGAAAGATGGTAAAGAAAAGCCAGGGAACTATAGACCGGTGAGCCTGACATCATTGGTGGCTAAGTCGTTGGAGGGGATTCTGAGGGATTTACATGTATTTGGAAAGGCAAGGACTGATTACTGATTATCAACATGGCCTTGTGCGTGGGAAATCGTGTCTCACTAACTTGATTGAGTTTTTTGAAGAAGTGACGAAGAAGATTGATGAAGGCAGAGTGGTGAACATTGTCTGTATGGCCTTCAGTGAGGCATTTGACAAGGTTCTGCATGGTAGGTTGGTTAGCAAGGTTAGATCACATGGAATACAGGGAGAACTAGCCATTTGGACACAAAATTGGCTCGAATATAGTGGTGGAAGGTTGCTTTTTGGACTGGAGGCCTCTGACCAGCAGTATGCCACAAGGATCAGTGCTGGGTCCACAGCTTTTTGACATTTCTATAAATAATAGGAGGTATGGTTAGTAAGTTTGCAGATGACACGAAAATTGGTGGTGCATTGGACAGCGAAGAAGGTTACCTCAGAGTACAATGGGACGTTGATCAGATGGGCAAATGGACCAAGGGTTGGCAGATGGAGTTTAATTTAGATAAGTGTGAGGTGCTGCATTTTGGCAAGGCAAACCAGGGCAGGACTTAAACAGTTAATGGGAGGGGCCTGGGGAGTGTTGCCAAACAAAAAGAGACTTTGAGATGCAGGATCATAGTTCCTTCAAAGTGCAGACACAGGTAGTCAGACTAGTGAAGACCAAGCATTTGGTATGCTTGCCTTTATTGATCGAAACATTGCATATCGGAGTTGGGAAGTTGTATTGCTGCTGCACAGGACATTAGTTAGGTGACTTTTGGAATACTGCATTTAGTTTTAGTCTGCCTACTGTAGGAAGGATGTTGTGAAACTTGAAGGCATTCAGAAAAGACTTACAAGCA